TAAAAGCACATGCATGGCAGTCAACATGCAAAAGGTGTGGATTACTGGTACTTTTGACACAGTAGTTCATAATAATATATGCTATTTTTTTCTCATTTGTGATTTACAACAGATTCCTTTGCTACTGAAATAAAAATAAATTTATTTGATTTTCAAAGTTGTGTTCACAAATAAATTTGTATTAAAGTACACAATTTTATTAGAGGTATATATGTAAATGTGTATATATCTATATGCATGTTCAGTATTTTTATTTTTTGTATTACACAGTTATAGTTATCACTAATCCACACTAATACTGGATGGAAACGAAAACAAAACTGTGATGTAGACATTTGTTTAAAATGTGTACTTTATATTCATAATTAATGTACAGTTTAGACAATTACATGAATTTTTATGTTGGAAGTGAAATTATGACATTAATATTTCCTGTTTACCTTTCTTTCCTTATGTCTTCCATGGATTCTCTATATGAATTTGTTGGAATAACATGACCAATATCATCTTTTTATATATGAAATAGGTAAGTAACTATTTTATTATCAAGGTGTTATAGTAGACGACTCACTTAATTAGAAATTTCTAACAAATTGTCTAGCTTATAAATACAATAATTTTCCAGGTATCTTTTTCCTCTCTCTTAACCATAAGGGGCTCAAAAAAATTTGCTTCTATTTTACTACTACTATTACTAGTTTGTTTTGAAATTTAAACAAATAAATTACATATATTTATTAGTATAATTATTTCAAATGAGCCAATTGTACTTTTTAAAGCTGTTGTTTTTTAGGAACACATAGTTAAATATTTTAATAAATATAAACTAAAATAGGACTTTCTGATCTTCTGATGGTTGGCAGAACATAGTTTGAAAGCATGAATTGTAATGAATTTTTTACTGGGCTTACCACGATAAAATTTCTTACTTTTATTGCTGATAATGCTAATCAAAATGATATTTTGTGATAAAGGGCCTAAAGAGTGTTTGTCATCGGTATGGCAGGTGAATATAAGTGGCTGTGTTAATAATAACAGAGTAATAATATTGCAATAGATGTTACATAAAGCTAAACTACATATTTTAGTCAGAAATGTAGGCAGAATGTTTGATCTTGAACAATATTCATTTGTGTTTATACATACATAAACATACACACACATACATACATATACATGTATTTAACTATTGAAACATTAAGTTACCAATATTTTCAGTATCAAAAGGCTTAAATGACAAATCAGAAGACCCTGTGACAAATGTTTTTCAGTCCACTGAATTTCATCTCCAAACTATTTTTTATTATTAATAATAACATTAAAACATATTGTTGCCTTACTAAATCAAATACATTTTTTTAACTTGAGCTAGATAAAAGCATTTCTAGTTTTAATGATCTGGGGCCTCTTCTGGGAGTTTTCAATCTCTCTCTTTCTCATTTTATTTCTTATTAATTTAGCCATCTATCCTATCTTTCTATACTTCCTTTTTTTAAAGACTGAGTAATTAATACATTATTAGATCATTTCCATTTTTCTTGTGTATACTTTGAATTAAAACCAGTACAAAATTTTAATGAAATTTATCACATTACATTTTGGAGTAAGACTGCAAGATGTATAAAGGGTTAAACAGAGTAGAAGAAATCCTTTAACGTGACTGTGAAACTGGTCTCATTTATTTGTTTGATATGAGTCTGAGTCTTTCCTGAAAGTAACGTGACAAACCTGACCTCAGTCTCAGGGGAGATGAACCTTAGTTTTCTGCTCTGATGGCTGTTCAGTTGCACTGATTCAGTCTTCAGGGTTAAATTGAGCAGCTCTGTAATGAAGAAAGCTTTTTATCATTCAAGAATGACATTTGTGCAATGGATTTAGAGGAAAAAAGGAAGCAGGACAGCTTTAACATTTAATTAATAAAACTGTGATGTATCTAGTGCATTCAGGAGTTTTGTCACATCTATAGTTATTTTCTGATGTATATTCTTTATTTTAAAGTTGGTTTAAGTGTATTATAAATTCATAAAAGGAATACATTGATAGTAAACAGCTCATAATAGGTAATAGGAAAATACATGTAATACATGTAATACAGAAAGACTGCTTTTTAATCTTGCTGCATTGCTTGTAATATGATACCTAACAAAATAAATAAAATCCAGAGTAATGATTTAGATAATTGTCATTTGACTAAAAAGGTAAAATATGGATAAACACTGCTACATTCAAATTCTTTCTTTTTATATATACAGTATAATGTAATGTTTTCATTGGCCTTTTCTAATTTTATAGTTTATATTCAGTAGAAGTATTAATCTAGAATGCTTGTCATTTAAATAGAGCTCAGAATGCCACAAAGAAATTAATGGATACATTTTTCAGGTGTTTTTTTTTAAAGAAGCCATTCCATGCCCTGCTTAGTTATGAAATGAGATTTGTTAAATAATTTGCCTTAAAAAAAAATCTTTTAATTTGATGAACCCTATTTATAATCAATTGCTCTCTTCTTTGAGCACGCACTACTGTCAACTACTCATAAGTGATAGTAACCCAATGTCTTTAAAAGCTATGGCCTATCTTTCATAAAGAGCATGGGAATTTATGAAGAAATGCCCTTTGCTTAATTTCCCTGAGGTGCCAGTAAGAATGGGAACTAAAAAGCCTTGGTGTGAACACTGTCATTTGAATGTTTATTTATCCAGCTTTCTTCCATTCTTCTCCCATTTTTCTAAACCCAGTGATTGTTTTTCTGTTCTTAGAAGTTTGGTGTGCCAAGCATCTGATAAGATGTGGATGTGTTTCTTCCAGGTAATGGCACCTTGAACACTCTTTCATAGATAATGGCTCTAATTTTTTTTCAGCTTTCTTTTAAATTTTGCAGTACTTAACAGTAAGAGTAAGTCAACAGTGGTGTCAATCATTTAAAGATTTAGTTTAGTGCTCTTCAGACATTCTGTGTGCTCAAAAAGACTTTAAATATCCACTCTGACCATAATCCCCCGCCCCCAAAGAATGCAGCTTTTGACTTGGCTGTTAGTACTGTTTTGACTTGGCATTTTCTTAACCGGCAGACATACATACATACATACAGTTCCTATCATCCCTTACCATAACAATCAATTGTTCTTCTAAAGTTAGAGTTGTGTGTGGGGGTCATGTGTGTTTAATATATAGATGGAGACAGTGTGAGAAATAGAAAAATACTAGGATACTCTATTTTATGCTATACATAAGGAAACTATGTTTTCCATTGTTGGAACATAAACGAAATTGAAAGCTTTGGGCATCATTAAAGCCTTGAAAGTATAGAATGCATTATTTCTTTCCATCAGTTCAGGACTGTAAAATCACTGTGAGATGAGAGAAACAAAAACATGCTGCTGTGTTAATACACATTAAGTTGTTAGCAGCTTCCTGTTTATGAGATCCTTGGAAATATTGTTACCAAGGTTATTCCTCTTTTGGAAACTGGCTACGAATACATATTTAAGTGTCTTTTATTTATTCCATTTCATTTGCTGCATAACATTTTTATCGAATAAATATTGTATAATATTATTTTGATGCCTTTACCAAAAGAACAATGTACAGGTTTTTTTTTAACTTTCCTCATTTTTGAAAGGTGATAGAACTCAGATTGACATATAATTCTACTCATGCCGTGTAGTAGCTGTGACAAATACACTGCAATGACAAGTCATCTAGATTGATTTAGGTTCACTTTGATATGAAGGATTCAGAAAAGCTGCCTTATTTTTGGTTTGCCATCTGTTTTCACCAGGAATAGAATGCATGGTGGGGATAGAAGGAATCAGCATTTACAAAATGTTTCACTACAGAGCAAAGACACAGTATATGTGAAATACATCCAAAATTCATATTGTCTATGTCTCTCTCCCTCCCTCCCTCTCTCCCTCCCTCCCTCTCCCTCTCCCTTTCTCTCTCTCTCTCTCCCTCTTTTTCTCTCTCTCTCTCTCTCTCTCTCTCTCTCTCTCTCTCTCTCTCTCTCTCTCTCACACACACACACACACACACACACATACACGCACACATACACTGCTCAGTTGTGTGCCAGATTTTTAAGGAATTCTATCCCATTCTTAAAACTCATAGATATACATTTATAGAGAGAAACTGGATTGGTTAGAGCACCACATTTACATTAAGGTTCAAATCCGGACTGATAACTTATCTTAGCAGTAGGAATCCTTGAGTAAAGACCTTCTAAAACTTCACCCACCTACTTCAAATATAAGAGTGACAAACTAGGACAGTCATTCCATCTTAGACATCATCCAGATTAACAAGTGGCATGAGATATTGGGGAATAAGGACAATCTGACAATAAGTAGCCCACTGAAAAAAGACATGCCCTCAGAGTCTGACTCTCTTGCACTGCAGGCTGGTCCAGGTCCTCACTTGCTCCACCAATTCTTCCTGAGTTCTCTGAACTTCACCAAAATTTATTTTATTATTTATTATTTATTTCATCAAGCATGAATTAGATAACAGATAAAAGTATAAACATGATTATGTATACATGGAATGAATACGAATACAAGGGAATATTAGGATAGAGAGAGTAGGCATGCTGGTGCGCTTTTGCATGCCCCTTAAAGACCTCTTAGAATGGGGTGAGGTAGACAGCAGACAGTTTAAGGTTAAAGTTTTGGGGTTTTGAGGAAGAAACCACAATGTCAGGTAATGCATTCCAGGCATTGACAACCCTGTTACTGAATTGTATTTTCTGCAATCAAGTTTGGAGCGGTTTACCATAAGTTTGTTTCTATTATGTGCTTGTATGTTGTTGTGGTTGAAGCTGAAGTCTTCATTGAAGGTAGGACATTGTAGCATATAATTTTATGTGCTATGCTTAGGTTGGATCGAAGGCAGCGAAGTTCCAAGTTGTCTAAGCCCAATATTTCAAGTCTGGTAGCATAAGGTATTCTGTTGTGATGAGAGTAGTGGAGGACTCTTCTCATGAAATATCTTTGGACTTATTAGATGTATTAATATCTGATATGCAGTGTGGATTCCAGACAGATGAGCTGTATTCAAGAATTGGTCCTGCAAAAGTTTTGTATACCTTAGTTTGCAGTTCAATATTACCAAAGAAGAAGCAAGATTAGGTTAACAACTCTTAATGCCTTTTTGGCAATGCTGTTCCAGTGAGATCTGGCACTTAGATCATTTGAGATGAGTACTCCAAGTTCCTTGACAGAGTGGGAGTCGTCTACAAGGTCATATCCGCCCAGCTTGTATTTTGTGTTCTGGATGTTTTTTTGTTGGTTTTTTTTTGGTCAATGTGTAAGACAGCATTTGTTGGTTGAGATTTGGAATTGCCAATTGTTTGATCATTCTGACACATAGTCAAGGTCTTTGGTAGGATAGCAGCATTGTCGGTAGTGTTGAATAGTTTTACATCATCAGTGAAGAGAACACAGTTGCTTCTAATATGATCTCAAAGGTTATTCAAAGGGCAGACGTGTCAAATTCTCAGCAGCATATCAGGTAAGACCAACACCCTTTTGGTGTTTATTAGTAGTACTTATAATTTGATGGTTCTGTTGACTTTGTGCAAAAAAATATAATGGTCTTCGGCAGTATTGCAGCCAGTGAACAGAGTTTTCCAATCAAGGGATGAGAAGTTCTCAGTTATGAGATAATGCTTGGCTTTTCTAAAGTTTTGCTTTGATTATTTGCAAACTGCAAAGTGGAGAAAATATCCTCATGGATCATTTTTGCAAAAGTACTAGTATAAATGAACAATAAAAAATGAAGTTTCAAGTTTCAGAACTTTTTAATAGTGATGATAGAGTTATCCATGTCATAAATGCTTATAAGGATAAATTATTGGATTTTTATGTCATTTTAGAGTAAAGTAGATCATCTTAAATATATGTATTTTAAAATTAGACAGCATAGGAAACAAATTATAGAATTATAAACTGTAAAAGTTGGAAGTAATCAGAGAGATTGTGGGTTGAAGTTTCTGTTTAGTCTTTTTACTACTATTGACACTGTGCACAACTATTAGGCAAGCTGTATTTTGGAGGATTAATTTTATTATTGAACAACTACTCTCGGTCATTTCAAAATGTTAATAAACCTCAAACCTGGATGTTTAAGAAAGTTAAAGTGAGGTTGTGGCCTTCATAGGAGAATATCTATGTGTGCATAATTATTGGGAAACTTATTAGTGTGTAGAATTATTATGCAACTAAATGAAAAAATTTCCATCTCATTTATTTCACTGATAAAGTGAGAATAATAAACAAACAACTCAAAATTTACAAATAAAAAATTCTGACAGTTCCACAAAAAAATCAATGACCAATATAGGTACCCTTCTTTTCAATAACAGATACAAGCCTTCCATTCATGGAGTCCGTCAGTTTCTTGATCTGTTGATGATCAACTTTTTGTGCAGCAGCAGCCACAGCCACCCAGACACTCACCGTAAATATGCCATTTAAGAAGGGCCCACAAGTTCTCAATAGGGTGAGGGTCAGGTGAGGAAGGGGGCATGTCATTATTCTTTCATCTTTAAGGCCTTTACTGGCTAGCCATGCAGTGGAGTACTTCGATCATGCAGTGAAGTATTGGCCTCATAAAAATCATTATCTTCTTGAAAGATGCAGACTTTTCCTGTACCACTGCTTAAAGAAAGTGTCTTCTAAAAACTGGCAGTAGGTTTGTGAGTTTATTTTGAGTTGATATTCAACCTGAAAAGATCCAACTAGTTCATATTCAACAATAACAGCCCATACCAGTACATCACCTTTACCTTGCTGGCATCTGAGATGAAGTGGAGCTCTGGGCACATTACTAATCCAGCCACAGGTCCATCCATCTGGTCCATCAAGAGTCACTCCCATCTCATCACTCCATAAAACCTTTGAAAAATCTATCTTCAGATATTTCTTAGCCCATTTCAACTTATGTGTCTTGTTCAGTGGTGGTTGGATTTCAGCCTTCCTTACCTTGGCCATGTCTCTGAGCACTGTACACATTGTACTTCTGGGCAATCTACATAGTTCTCAAATATGACAGCACTGGAGGATAATGGTTTCCTGGTAGCTTCACATTTGATTCTTCTCAAATCTTTGGCAGTTAAAGTGCATCTTTGGAAGTGCCTTCCAACAGAAACTGGAACCTCCACTATATTTAATATAAGCATGCCTAGGATTACCAAATATCTGACAGGCAAAAGAGGACAAGCAATTAAAAAGAAGCCAAAATGGGGGGGGGGAAGGGAAGGAAACACACAAACTGTTTTAACTTTCTTAGCTTATATGATAAAAAATACAGTGAAAATTGCAAAACAAAAGTAAAAATACTTAGGCTTACATATATATGAAATTACTTTTTCCAGTATCAGAGTTTTTCAATTGAGGGAATTTGAGAGAGCTGTTTAGGAGGCAAAAGCCTTCAGTGTGTAATTGATTAAGGTCTTGTTAATTTTAGGCAGCAGGGCCTGCTTGAGAGTATGGTTCCAGCAAGGTAGAGGTGATGTACTGGTATGGGCTGTTATGGATCAAAGGTCTGAGCTTATTAACTTGAAGTTACCACTTATTAGGGAAACTGTGCAATATGAGGAAAAACTACTTGGGAAGAGATACTAAAAATATTTGACTTTTAAGTTCATGCCTTAAATATTTAATTATACAACATTTGATTTTAAGGCAATGCCTCCCAACTAAGGTCATTAGAACAAAAAGGAGAACAAATCCTTCCTGTTGCTGGATATCTTTTAAACCTAAGCATGCTACTTGTGCGGATACTTATTGGCCTAAGGGCCATAAATATTCCACATTATCTTATCTGGCATTGATTCTTCTCCTTCAGCTTTAGATACCTACTATCTTTTCAGCATGTCAAGATTCTCATCTATTTTTGTGTCAATTCATGTCTGATAATCTTGTTTCTCATGTCTTATCCAAGTATTTACAGATATGTAAATAGCCTGAAATCTAAAAGAAAGGCTTGCAGCAGCAATCCATTCAACCCTTCTTTTCAATCTGGAACTGTAATGAATAAACAGAATGTCTCTTGACATGTTACATTAATTTATATGTGCAAATCTCACTCACTAGCATAACATAATTTTTATAGTAAAAGCCAGGTATGTTATAAGTGCTTATTTTATATCATATTTCCAACAGAACCAAGGTTTCCCAAATCCCAGGCTTTAATTTAAGTATCCTAATTGAAATAACTATGAGATGAAATTATATAAAATGTATCCCTTTTTGGTTCTACTAGATTATGGAACAGGTATATTGGTGATTTCAAGAAAAAAAAGAGTTGAAAAGTTCAACATACTGTCTGCCAGCACATTTGTCCTTAATGCCTTTCTTTCAGTGTTGTGAAGTCAGTTGGAAGTGATCACTGAATTTTGAAGAATTTCTTTTTCTAGAAAGAAATAGTAGATAAAATTCACAAAATCACACACACTGGTAAGAGCAATCAAACCTGTAAAAAATGAGAGAATTGTCAAATATGGTTCATTTTTTATTTAATTCTTTCAGGAAAATATAATCAATTACATTCAAGCAGAGAAAACTATTCTAAAAATTTAAACTCACATCTGTTCATTGGACTCTTTAAAATTTAATTAAAGATGCTACATGAATATTCAACTACAGAAAAAATACATTTAATTCATTTTCAGAGACATATATAGAATATTATCTTTCATTTTGGAGCATCTTTATTTCCTAACCTTCTTCAATATCTCTTTTGTTCTCTATTCTTTCTAAATCATCAGTAATTTCTATTTTTGTCCCTTTTCATGTTTCTATTCATCGTTTTAGTTTTCCTCTTTTATCCTTCTGTTGCTGGGTATTTCTTTCCCACCCTATCTCACACACGGAATTATACTCATATAATTATCTTTATTTCCACTAAATTCATGACAAGCAGTATGAAATTCTGAATAATTCAAATACTGAAGAAAGTATTGATGAAGACTGTGTAGAATATCTGCCAATGATTATATCATCTTCAATGGTACAAAACAAAGGCATGACAACAAAATCTAATAAATATTTATTTATTCTATTTATATGGCTATACATCTCACAAAGCAGCTCTGGGGTGCATACAACATTTCAATATATGTAGTAGCTGAGGAGCCATCAAAGACCCTTTGTGATAGACTTGCAAGTGTTTTAATAGTAAGATTGTTTCTATCCAGGCCAAATACAAACACTATTTTATATTGTTTATATCAAGATATATCCTTTGTTCTGATTATATGACATCAGTTTCAGTTAATGGGGTCTGAAGATATGTTTTAGTTGTACAGCCTATAACATTTTCTCTAGATCTGTGCTTACCTTGCCTTATTCAGTTCATCTATTTACAAGATAAAGTGATGTTATCTTTATCCTTAAAGGAAGCATTAGTTCACCCATTGTTCAAGAAAGGATCCAGAAGGTTTTGCCAGTTACCTTTCTTTCACAAATATTCCAAAATGTTCCTTTTTGGAATATTTGATTTAGAACAAGATGCTTAAAGGAATTATATTTCTTTTAGAACACACCAGTTATCTTAGCTATTTTTATTTTGCACTCAATCCCGACAAGACTGAGTGGCTATTGATGCTCCCTCCCAAAAATTGGCCATTTACTCCATCTCTCAGCCTGTGGGGTGAAATTATACGCCCCTCAGAAAGGGTTCTCAATTTGGGAGTCCTCCTGGACCCCCAGCTGACTTTAGAACATCACCTGTCGGCTGTGACCAGGGGGGCATTTGCCCAGGTTCGCCTGGTGCACCAATTGTGACCCTACCTGGATCGGGAGACCCTCCGAATAGTCACTCATGCCCTTGTGAGCTCAAGACTGGACTACTGTAACACGCTCTACATGGGGCTGCCCTTGAAGAGTATTCAGAGACTTCAGCTTGTCCAGAATGCAGCCGCGCGAGCGATAGTGGGTGCACCTCGGTACACCCACGTTACACCTATCCTCCGCGAGCTGCACTGGCTGCCCATTGGGCTCCAGACTCGCTTCAAGGTGCTAGTCGTTACTTTTAAAGCCCTACATGGTATTGGACCTGGGTGCTTGAGAGACCGCCTCCTGCCAATTACCTCCCTACGACCTATCAGATCCCACAGACTAGGCCTCCTCCGAATTCCATCTGCCAGCCAGTGTCGGCTGGCAACTCCCCGGGGGAGGGCCTTCTCTGTGGCTGCTCCAGCCCTCTGGAACGATCTCCCCGTTGAGATCCGGACCCTCACCACCCTTTCAGCTTTCCGCAAAGCCACGAAGACCTGGTTGTTCCAGCAGGCCTGGGGCTGATGAATTTCCAGCCCCACTGCAATGTGGTGACTGTTGTGTATTTTAATTTGTTTGTCATTTTAATTTGTTTGTTTTATTTTCCTATTTGTATCCCCTTTCGCCCGTGGTTGTTAGCCGCCCTGAGTCCCTCGGGAATAGGGTGGCATACAAATTGAATAAACTACAACTACAACTATTTGGATTCAGAATTAACTACAATTATTCTGATGAACAGAATCATCCAAGGTATAGAAGAATTTGTTAGAAATAAAAAGATGGCATGCAAGTCTATTGCTCCCATTTAACTTCTTACCAGTTTTTCCTATTGTTGATTGAAGTGTTTTCATGAACTGTCTCTGTGTGTTGAGGACTGAACTAAAAGTAACACATTATAATGATTATACTAATAATTGTGCTGCCTGTTTTCTGCTTTTTCTAAATTCTGCCTATTTGTTTAGCTTTTGTTCCCCTGAAATGGTAGTATTAACCATCACACTGACAAAAAAGGATACCAATAACTAACTTTCTGTAACAAATCAAACTAATATAAGTTCAGATATAAAAGTCTATTTGTATAATTGTATAAACCTACATAGTATACAAATTCATTTCTACATAATACTTGTAGGTCTGGAGAAATCTCTGATATTTTTTTTAAAATTGCTACCAATGTAGAGAATTAGTGTGCATCTTTATTAAGGGTCTGAAAGCTGCACTTGGCCTGTTGAGTAAATAATCTGGGTTATGAACTGCAAAAGATAGTGATAATTATTAATATAGTAGTTGTGTATTATTTCATAATCTTACATTGTAAATTACAATGTAGCAACAGGTTTTACAGGTCACACCCAAAGCCTTTTAAAGCATATTTTTCACTTCAGCCTAAGTATCTTTTGGGTAGTTAGTGATAATTTACTTAGAGGAGTAATGTGATGCAATAGAAAGTAATTGCATATGTGAAAACTCCTAAGGTTTATGGCAAAAATAAGCAATGGTAAATTAATGAATCCAAGCTGCAATATTTTACTTGCTATTTTTTTCTGACACTTTCACTTATAATTTTTAATTTAAGTAATCACCTTGATGAATCATTGTTCAGTTGACATTAATTTAAATTATATCTTACAAAAATAGAAGTGATTCTAATATTAGTATTTTACTAGATTACTGGTTACTGCTAGTTTACTAGATTATTAATTATTATAGTATCTAGTTAAAAGATTTCTAAATTATGTGGATTATTTTATTAAACAGAAATTCTGTATGTATGATGCATTAGGGAGTCTAAAATTTATTTGGAACTGAAAATTAACTATGTGTATATTATACATGTGTGTGTGTGTGCGCGCGCGCATATGTATGTGTGTTACATTTTATCTTTGATTTCTACAGAGATACAATGTAAACTTTTACTGTAAGTATACTTAATCTTTATGTGAAAAAGCTGTTTAGTTTAACTTTCAATTTTATATAAGGTTAATGTGTTTCTAACTCCATTTGTTTAGTATTAAAATCTTATTTATTCTATATAAGCAACATGAATTTTAAAAAGTAGTATCTGTCTTCAGTATAACAATAATAGTTCTTGACTTGAAACAGTTTAATTTTGATTCAGGTATTGTTTTGTTATTAACACAAAAACAATCATTCTTTCCTGATTTGAAGTTCACTAAAATATTTTAACAATTCACAAAACTAGAATTAAAACTAAGTTGAAAGAAATAATTGAGGTTGATAGAACTTCCCTGGATATTTCTGGGTCAAAGCGGAATGTATCAGCACCTTCCTTGAATAGAAGAAGTCCTTTTTTTCCCCCTTTCTGAAGAAGAATGGTGTTTTTCTTGCTGCCACTAAAGGGAGACCTCCTTTGGGACCTTGTTAGATACTTTCATGTGAAGACCATTTGACCCAGCTCTGATTAGAGAGCAAGTGTGGAAGGCTAGAGTGGTTGGGGGATGCCTTTGGCTAATGTTCTCCCCCTTCTTCAGTAGGATAAAACTCTCAGTGGAATATATTAGGGATAATAACAGGGTAAAAAATGTCAGTTGAAAGAAATGGGATAAATAGTGCTTCTTAGACACAGATATGCATACTAGTTAAGCTTCTGTTCTTTATACAAAGAAAGCTATATTACATATTTCATAGTATAATAATCATTTAGTGTAGTACAGCTATCATTAAAATAAGTATGACACAAAATAGTAAATTTCAAAGATTTTGTTAGTAAACAATTGTGTTTCTTAAAATTATTAATTAATACACTAGTGTTTTGCTTTGACAGTTTGTGGAAGGATATTTTAATTATTGTTAAAGGAAAAGGGAATAGAAGGTCTGCTTGACATTAAATTATGGAAAAAAGAAGTGGGATTAGCACATATCTGTCTTCCCACATTATACTGTATTTTGAAAGAGTTCTTATGTTTATGGAGACATGTTAATTAAAACCTGAATGTTGAGATTTTTATCCTCAACAGAACTGCATTCCCAAGTAGGACATATTTAGTTATGCATTAATCAGGCAGTTCAGTAGATGTTCTGGAAAGCCAGTAGATTTATTTATCTCTGTTCCTAAACCTTAATAGCTAAATGGCAAGAAATTGGGGGCAGGTGAGAGGGGCATCCAGTAAAATTTTAAATACTGAAAAAGACAATATTTTGTGGCAAAAATATGCTACTTTTTAAATCACTACTTTAAATGAAGGGGAAAGGGTAGCGATTTTTTAATGTTATCTAACACATTCCATTTTGCCATCCCAAAAAATGAATTGTACTAATATTCTGCTATGCTTGAAAATATGCAGAAAACGTTTATCTTGTAGAACCAGCAGTCTTAACAAACAGACATGAAATAAAACTGGACAGACTGATATGCTTCACCTCGCTGCCTTTCCTTATTTTGAAACCTACAGTGGTGCATAAAAGTTTGTAAACCTTTTGAGTTTTCTGTATTTGTTCAGAAATAGGAGCTGAATTATGATCTGTTCTCCACAAGTGCCCTAAAATTACATAAAGAGAACCTAATTAACTAAAAACTTTATATTTGTTCCTTTATCTATTTCCTTGATAAACATTAATCTAAGATAAAATTCTGAAGAAAAATGGGATACCTTAAAATCCTGAATTTATTGTTGC